CGATTTCTCACCAAAATGAGTCTCAATTAGCATTTTCTATTACTGAATATTCGCGTCTTTATTCATTTATTCAATCATAAAGACTAATGTTATACAATACAAATGTACGAATTTGTAATATCATTTCCAATATCAAAATCCAATTTTTAAAAGAAAGCATTTAAGCAGATTTTGATTGAAAAAAGTTAAAAACTTGTTTTTTTTTATCTAAAAATTCTCTTTTTTCAATTTTAATTTCTAAGAAATTTATAAATTTAGGTATTAAAACTGTGGATTTCGTTGCAAAATGTACAGTTTGACAAATTTTTATAGATGAAATAAATGACTCATGTATAGTTTTAACTTAAAAATAAAATAAATTTCAGCATTACAATATGAAAATTCATAAATTAATTTTTTATCGTATTAGAAAAAAATCATTTAGTTTTATTTATATTTAAATAAATTGATATTAAAGATTTAAACATCTTGGAAAATTTTGAGTTTAAATATAAAACGTAAAGAAAAATATTATTTTAAAACCAAAAAAATATATTTTTTCTTACTAATATTTGTAAAACTTATTCTACGATCAACTGTTACATTATTAATAAGCAACTATTCTGTGAATTTACATTACTTTTAATAACAATTATGCTACTCATTTTTATGAAGAAGTATGTTTATATTATGTTGGTTTGATTTTATTTTTCAGTCATTCTTTTAAGTTTCAAACAATTGATATTTTTCTGGCTATACCTTAAATATATAACAAGTAACAAATACACAACAGTAGAAATGCCATTTTTACAGACTACAAAGTAATTTTGAGAGAAAAGTTCAATAACTATTCTGTGACTTTTATTTATTTTATTTTTTACCACTGCATAGAAGAAAAAAAATAGTCAAGATTCTTTAGACGTTTTATTGTGTTTTTTTTCCTTCCCTTTATTCGTTTCGAGAGAAGGTTTTTTTTCGTACTTTCTGTTCTTATGTCAACCTCTTTCCTTCGTGTCTTCAAGGTCGTTTCAAAACTTTGTCGAAATAAAAGCGAAACAAAGAAAGAGAGACATTTCACCGAGCTTTTCCATTGTTTTTGTTTTCCTAAGAATTCTCTCTTTTTCCCACGGGAGTCGCCAAAGGAATTTTAGATCTGCCTTTTGTATTTTTGGAAGACTCGCCAAACAAGAGATTCGATTTGTCGTAGGGTTATTCGCAAACCTTACTTGAAGCAGTAAAGGACATTTGTTTCTATTTAACTCAAAATTCTAACTTAACTAAAAAAAACATCCCTCTTGGAAGAAAAGTTAGCTAATAATTTGGTAAAGGTATCAGTTATAAACCGTAATATTACTGGGTATACACGAGTCAACCACATAAAGTAACTTTTTTCAAAAGTCAATGACATTAATGTTACTGATTGTGAGACTAAAATGGCATTAATTAAGACGGAAAAAAAATTATTTCTTACTGAAGTTTATCAGAGGAATATTACATTTAGAATATGTTATTTTATACAATTCCATGATCGCTTTGTTTTAAAGTAGTCTAAGCTGAACTATTTTTTTTCTCCATAATTTAAACCTTAATGTTGTTTTCAGTTTTTTCACATTATCTATTATATATAATTCTCTTACGTGGCTCCCAAATTTTGGCTGTATTTCTTTTCCGCTGGTGGCAACAGTTTTCCTTTCTAAAGAAGTACTTTGTACAACTAAATAAGATTCTTTTCACAACACTTAAATAAATATTTACTTTATTTTCTTCAAATATACAGAAAACACTCGGCAAAGAATTATGTTAGGTTAGAAAACATTTCGCTAAAAAAATTACGAATTCTAAAAGAAATAAAAATAAACAACTTAAAAAATAAAAATGCTGTTGCCAGCCATAGAATTTTTTGAAAGTTAACTTAGCAACATAAATCAAAATGACATAGAAGCGCAACTAGATCAAAATTATGATACCTGAGCGCTTGACGTAACAAATCCTTCAATTCTATAAGTGTTGTATCGCCAAATGCCCAGATTAACAATTGTGTTTTTAAAGAAATTCTATAAAAAGTTTTAAATAAAAAAACTTCTATCCAGCTACTTCTACAGCTGCTTCTTGAAGAACTTGGCTCACTGATTAAAAATATTGTTTTAATTTTACAGTACTAACTTTACTTCTACTTTCATTATTGCTATGACCCTCTTTCATTACATTTTACAACTTCATGCTAAATTTGAGGACTTTAAGTTGTTTTGTGGTTGAATACTGACATTTAGAAATGTGTACATAAAAAAAATAATATTTAGAGGTTAAGAGTTGCCTCAGAAAAATTTGAATTGTTGACATTGAACTTAACAATGGAAACAATCGTTTTTGTGAAAAATTGAATTGTATTGTTGACATCAAAACTAAAAATATTGTGTTTCAACTTAACAATACTACCTTAATTTATACTTTAGAATTGCCTCGGAGAAATTTGAATTGTTAGCAATGACTTAAACAAAAAGTTTTATTTTAACTGACAAATACTATATTATAATTTTAACTTTTTCTATGACTATACTCATTTTCTTACTCTTTTCTTTGTTTTTTATACATTTTATATTTTTGTGATAAAATAAAAAACTTATAGTTGTTCTGCTTCTGAACACTGATGAAAACACAAAATGATGGGCTTCATCAACAATCAAAAATATATACATTTATTTTACAAATTCCATATTATTAAGGTGGCGCCCTTCAGAGAATTAAAAATACAAAATTATCTTCATCAAAGCCGATGCTTTACATCCGGCGTTCAGTGGCAGACTACTATTTCATATTGTTTTACAACACATGGCTTTAGCCCTCTGGTGGGAAAGACTTTAAAACAAAACTTACAACAGTTACTTTTCTCAACAACTGAAATTTAGAATAGTGTGATTAAGCAAAATATGTGAACTGTTTGCAATTTCAAATTAATATTGAAATGTACAGGTTTAGAATTTTCTACAGTGAAAAGTTTTCGGAACATCAGTATTCAAAAAAGTATACAAAAGCTAGACGTTAAGAACATATCCAATGAGCGAGCAAAGCGAGCATTGGATTGCGAAGCAATCCGAAATGAACTGCGAAAGCAGTTCCGGGGGTTGGCGAGCGCCAGCGAGTAGGGAGCAAAGCCTCCTAGTATTATAAAATTTGATATTACATTCAAATCAGATCGAAAAATTTTCAGGAAGAATGGAAAGAGTTTATAAAGTTTTGAAACTTTGAGAAAATACTTATATAGGGTCTAGCAATGGAAAACAAAGAAAAATTCCAGTTTTCTGAGGGGACGCTTCCCACTATTTTTCTCCCTGAAACTATAATTAATACTTTATAAATAAAATGTTAGTGCATTTTTTTATTTTGCTCTTTAAGGACAGTAAACGGCGATAAATATTCACTGTTTCATTTTATGGAATTTGTCTTATTTCAGCCACGCAACTGTATTTAAATGTGCTGGTATTTGTATGAAATTGTATAATCTCTACTTAAATTTACTGTTTACTTTAAATTTGCATAAGCTAAGTCATAATCCACACTTAAACACAGCGTGCATATATATGTATAAGGTTTATACATAAATGGTTTCTCTTTAATATACTTATTCTAAAAACACACTAAACATATTTTATACACTTAACTCAATGATGTTTTTGTGTTTAATCTTATAAATTTAATGTGCGAATTCTTCGACATATTATTTAGTGTTTTCGGACAATGAAGAACTGAAAAATATGGTATAGAAAAAAATTGAATGAAAGTGTTGACGCACCTAAATGTTTGCGAACATGAGAATGTAATGCAGAATGGTGACAAACAATTTATAGATGTTGGAATATTTAGTTAATTTCTAGAGTTACATAATTTCTGATCCCATGGTGATATGTTTAGATTTTTTTGATCTTAAATACTGGCTAAAAATAAGGTTGAAATTTTCTTCCGCATGAAACACGAGCAACTTACTGACTGCCTGGTACGTCTTTTTTAATTGCATTTTTTTGGAACCTGACCAATATGACTATTGACTGATACGAAATATTTAGTTAAATAATGTAGTATCAGTTAAATAATGAAACGAGTGAAAAAACAAGAAAAAAGCGAATCACTCTAAGTAACTTTGGATCTGCAGTATGGACTTTCACGTATTGGGACTCAATTGTAATGATTCGATAGTTTCACCTATTAATTAGCATAAACGATGCTTTAAGTTACGAAATCGGACACAAAAACGTACTTCCTCTGAATAAACATAATTTGTCTAAAGAATAATTATTTCTGACTCTTAATATATAGAGGGTGGACATGATCTAGGAAATATTGCCCCGATAGTTTGGTCAGTTGAGATGTCCAAAGTTCTAAAGTTGGGTACCCTTAATGTTAATTTTTTTTACGAATTTCGTCATGTCTCTTAATTTTTTAAGCGAATTGATTTTTTTCACGCAATTATAAAATTCATTGATCCAATAATAATTCCATGCAAAAATAATTTTAAATCATAATTTAATATTTTTTTAAATATTTTATTTAAAAATGACCAAAAAAAACTTAAACTGTATGGTATACAAATTTTTAAAATCACTCTAAAAACGTAATTCTGTAATTCAAAGTACAAAATTTGAATGAAATCGTACGAATAGTTCCTGAGAAAACGAATTTTAACTGTGCGACTTAGTTAAACCTTATTAAGAGTGCAGCAATTTTAACTACATTGTGTTTCAGCGCGTCCTAAATGTGCAGTGCGCAAAGTTGAAATAAATAAATAAAACGAAACACTTGAATAACTTTTGATCTAGATAACGGTTTGTCATGTATTGCGATTTAATCTTAATGATTCTATTTTTAGATATACTATCTTCATTGTATGGACGATGTTTCATGTTATGAAATTCCTCTAGAAACATACTTTTAGAATTATTTTTTCTTTCCAGATTTGATTTCCTGACAATCAATAATGGATGTAAGCCGTAGTTTAGTCAAAGAATATACATAGGTTGATTGATTGATTGAATGTAGAGTTTAATGGCACAAAATCCAAATGTGGACATGCTGCGCCAAACAATATGTTTATACATGTCAAAAATGAAGTGCATACTTATTTTCCTAAATATAATTAAAAATTGATAAAATCATATACAAACAATCAACGGTAGTATTGGAATAAAATCACGTCAAAGTTAAAACACAGTAAAATAGTATAAAGGTAAGAATATCCTTCTAAAAATGAATAAATTCATGAACAGAATAAACTTATATACAATTTAAAATGCCAATAGCACGTAAAAATGCAAAAATGTTCGGATGATGAGAGTCACCTAACAAATCTCCCATAGATAAAATAGAACTGCCAAAAAAGGCAAGACGATGTCTGTTAAAATACGGGCATGTGATTAAAATATGGTGAATCGAAAGTAAAACATCACAAGTGTTGCATTGAGGAGGTGGTTCACCAAACAACAAATGTAGATGGGTCAGTCTGGTGTGTCCGATTCGCAGACGGGTAAGCTTAACATCTGCACTACGTAGTCGCAACACAGGGAAGGGTTCCAAATTTGACTTATGAGCGTGCAACTTATTATTCACTTGGTTATCCCACTGCTGCTGCCATAAAGATTTTATATACTTTTTAATATGTATTTTTACATCTGAGAATATCTTGAACTGTTTAGGGCTGGACTGGAATGACATTCATTCCTCTCCCATTCTGGTTTCGGATTTTCTGAATGTCAACGGATTCATTGATCTGGTCTGACCCCGTCAGACCAGATGGGAATTAGCAACAACAACAACATCTGAGAATGGTATAGATAAATTTAAAGTAGTAGTAGCAGATCGCGCTGCTGTATCGGCTAAATCATTGCCAGGGATTCCAACGTGACTTGGAACCCAGCAAAATAAAATATCGAAACCATTTTTATGAAGATTAAATAGCAAATGCTGTATAAAACACAAAATGGGATGAGTTTCATTGTCAAAATGGTTGAGTTGGCGCAACACGCTCATACTATCTGAGTAAACGCAGTATTTTCGATTCAAACTAGCTGAAATAAGCCTTAATGCCAACAGAATTGCAACTGCCTCAGCGGTGAATACGGAACACATAGTTGGTATTCTATAACTGTAGGTGTCGTCAGCAATAACAATACCACAGCCTACATAGCTAGGACATTTTGAGCCATCTGTGAAAACCGGAACATGTTGACAATATTGATGACGATGAGCTTTGTATAGTTGCTGAAAAATGATAGGCGCAACATGAGAAGAATATACATAGGAGAAGATAACTAGCTTTCACAGACATCATGCAAGTCTCTGTGTATAAATATTAAAAAAAAACATTTTGGGGGCAGCAGAGATTCTTGATACGAGTTTGCACCATGCTTTCCTCCCAACGACTTCTGAGGTTGGCGGGAGAAGAAGAGTTTCATTTTTTGTATTTATTGTTGATTTCTGCACTATTGATACACTAAACAGTACTGAACTTTTAATTAAGAAACTTCTTTGAGAACTGATGTACGTTAAATCTGCCGAGTCGCAAAAGTCCTCCATGTTTCCATAACAAATCAATACCTCTGGGGGTACTGGGTTGGAGATCGATCGTTCTCTGATTCAGGTCAAAATTACGATCTGTGGATGAATGAATGGATTCATTCATGTTGGATGCATGAATGGATCCGCCCTATAAACGGGTGAGACGTATGATGTGGCAGAAGTCGAATTCTTGGCCATAGATAGCGCCACTGAAAAACAAGAAACGCACACTCCGCCTTAAATTTGCTCGGTTTCACCAATCAGGCTTGCCTTTGTGGTTTTACCTTCACACCCTCAAGATTGCATTTTAAATGATAAAGCAGCAGTTAGCTCTAAAATTACAAAATATATCTCTTTTATTTTATTTTATGCGCCTTACCTCTTTAAAGGAATCACATATTAACGATTATAAAATTAAATTTTAGCTCAATTTACAATTTAAATCATGCAGTTCTTACCATTAGCGGTTAAACATTAAATATTTTATATGAAACACAGAAAAAATAAATAAGAATAGGAGCCAAATAAATGCCACAAACTATTCGACAAAAATTACTTTCAGCACTTATTAATCAATATCTTTCCTTCTATTCTTTTAATAGTGTTTACTTCTTCATCAACTGTGCAAAGCAGAGAGAAATAAAGAAAATTTAAGACCACAGACATTGCTGTGAAGCAGGTCTTCTATTTGTGAAGCTCTTCATGCCAGCTGCTGCCACTGGGGAATTCTCAATAACATTTTTAGCTCGCCTTTGTTGACGGGTCTATTTTATCCTTAGGAAAATTTCTAGCTTTTATGACACGCCAGTAATATACCGACTGACTCTTACGTCATCCAAATACCTTATTTCGGGTAGCTATATATATTCGAGCACAAATGTCTTTTTCTGAAAATCGCATTAAAGTTGAAGTTTTCGCCGCATGGAATAGTTATGGAAGGATGCTTATAAATGTGGAAATATACGAGCCTTTTGATTAATTTAAAAGTTTAATGATAGAAATATTCGTTTTAAATTAGCATTTTTTAGTGAGGAAATGTTTTTTTTTTTTTCAAAAAGAGTAAATGTTTTTTTTTCTCTTCAGATCCAAACTTATTAGTCATCTAAGGCAAAAGTTATCTCTCAGTTCCCTATATTATGGATTTGGCAACAACTATGTAGTAAGACTACCACTAGACTAAACATGAATAATAGTCATATTCATATTTTACTCTAAGTTTGAACCAACTATTCATATATTAAAGTACTATTCATATATTCTAAGTACTATTCATATATATTCTAAGTACTATTCATACATTACTCTATGTCTGAAAAATTTAATTCAGAATTATTTTAATTCCCACAATACGTTTAAAAGCATATCGAAGAACCATGTGCCACCTATGTGTAAAAGCTTGACAAAATCTGAAAAATTGCTGAGAATTTTAATGCTTTTACTCTGATTTTAAACTACCATTATAAAAATCTTTAGCAAGCAACATAAAAGCTGTCAATTTATGATTTAGGCTTCATAATTAAATAATAAATTAAATACATGCAAGAAAAAGTATACTTGATGTTTATGTACTTTTCTAAGCTCTTAGTTCGAGAATTATTCGGAAATTAAGATCCATATCATTGTAGCTATTCAAATTTAGATTGATTTTTTTAAAATGAGTATGTACTGGCTCCCGGCATGCCTTGTAAGATTTATTAGACACCATTTATGTTGGCAGCGTTGCAGTGTACAGTGGAAAATATATGTTCAAAATATTTAAGGAATTTATCTGCTCACCGTTTGTGAAAAACGATCAGTGTTTCAGTTTTCAACCTAAAAGAACAATTCATCGGAGGAAATTCATCAACAGAATAAGCAACGTGGCTTTTTTTGTTTCGTTCTTTTTTCGTCTTTTTTTTCAACGTGCAGAAGTTTATTCCTCATGGTTATGCCAGACCCAAATGCGTATTTGTATCTCAAGAATGAAGAAGGTCACGGATACCCACACATGTGACCTATGACGTCTGAGCCAGCTGATCGTTTATAAGCGAAATGGTGTGTTAAAGTTGAACTTAGTTTTTCTTCATAACTAAGAATGTTAATTAACGTGAAGTTAACTGAGCACAGCGCCGTATTGCAAATTGAATTTATTGAATATAATTCTTTTACTTAACTTAGATGCACTATTTGTTTATTTATTTTATTGTAACCATGATTTGTTTTGTGTATCTGGCAACGTCGATGCATAATGAGTTTGTTTATGCTCTACATGACTTCGTGCCTGGTATTGCGTTGAGTACGAAATGAACAGCGGAAAATTGAAATCTTTGTGAAAGATTATTTGCGTAAGAATATAGAATGTGTCACTTAAGACAATTGATGCTTGACGGGCTTGAATTAATCGAAATATAAGGAAAAAAAATAATTGGTTACGTAAACAAATACCACGTTTCAACTGCCAATCAGGATCGAGATACCCACCCGACGTTACTTGCATGTATCCTATTAAGTGATTCACATCTGAAATCTGATCAGATATTTTGGAAGGAAACAGCCGGACCAATCGCCGCACAGTTCAGACTTAATGAAGAATGATTTTCACTCGTTAGGATCTGGTATTTTGCTCGTTACATAAAAGAGTTTCTCAACAAGTGCTTCTTCATAAATAACGAAATGAAAGAAGCCCCCAGTTGAAGAATAATTTTTTCTGACAGGCGGCAAACTTTTATGGCATAGAAATATAAGCTTTTTCGTGATCCTAGTTTTTTCGTGATCTACTTTATGAACGCATAATACTTTTCACATTTTTTAGCGTTTTTCGAACACATTGAACTATTTTAACGTAGTTAACTTTATTTATATGTTATTGGACAAAAGTTCTCAATGACAGTCTTTTTTTATTCTTTTCAAAAAAAAAGGTATTTAATTTCTTCGAGAAATAAAATCTTTTGAATAATAAAATTATTAAGACTTTTTTTTCCTATTTTGCTAAAAAAACATTTATTGTTCTATGAAATTGATTAAGAGTTATATAGATTCTATACAAGGTGGCCATTAAAGTCCGCACCCTGTATCTAAACTTTTGAACAACTCCTCCTGTTGAAGAAATTCCAAGATGGAGTTTCTATATCGAAAAAGGTATGGGTTTGGGTAATTAAGTGAATTATAAAACTGTAGAGCATCACATACGAATTAATACGAATAGACCCAATTGTGGACATTAATACTTTAAAACAAACGTTTAAAACGCACTTCTCTGTGTTATTGATCCCCAACCCTCAGACAGGACTAAACAATCTTGGAGGAAAAAGAAACTAATTAACAAAAAATTACTTTGCTTTCTATGTTTATGTCTACAAAGTGTCTATACATAGTCAACTGATGTTGTTTTACATCTTTGGAGTTAACTTTTCCCCATTTACCATAACGCTTTCGTAACGTTAATGTAGCACATTGCCGTTATATACTAAGTCTAGATTTTGCTAATATTCAGCAACAGTTCTCAAAAATTTTGAGTGTGAATACAGATTTTATTGGGCAACCTTTATACAACGCCTAGGTAAAGTGCTATTTATGTCATATACATTTCCTATGTATATTCTTGCCTACAAGGTATTCTATAGAACATCAGTGTTTAATGCATTGCCAATAATATACATATTTTTTTTTTAAAAAAAAGTTGTATTTAATTTCAATTAATGAACAGATTTCTCATGCTATTCAATAATGCACAAATTATAAACGTCTTTATTAATTCTTTTATTGATATGATACTTGATAATTATTTAGTTATGTTTATTTCAGCCTAGGATTATGAGGAATTAAAAGTATTTTCACAAACAGATGTAAAAAGCATTAATTTGAACACCAAAGAATTATTGTTTACAAAGCATCTCTTAGCGAAAACACTCAACGTTTCGACTGCAAGTAAAGAATAGAGTTTGAAAGAATCGAAACAATGCAAACAATCCTTGAAAAGAAAATAATCAAACTACAAATAATTTTGCACTCTCTTGCAGCTTTTGATCAATACTTCAAAACCATTCATTTACTAATTAGTTGAACTGTGAATCGCTTGAAAAGAATCTTTTGATGTATTATTCATTGTGAAGCATTCGTCATCCGGAAGTGTTTCTCTAAGTCCTTAAGGAGGTTTGTAATGTACTTTTCGGTATGAATAGAACACAGTGAATCTCTGAAAGATATTAAGTAAAGCTACTCAAGGTACTTTAAATTTAAGAAAAAATTTTTACAATTATAATTTATTTTAACTTAGTCACAAAATTAAAACTAATTTACTCCAATTACGTTCATGAATATGTTACAGAGCCAATATGTTATTGTTAAAATTTTGTAATACTTAAAAACAATATTACAATGTTGCATTATTGATTTTATATTCTTTTAAATGGATATGGTTTAGGTACAGAAAATAATGAACAATTAGCCGTCTTTGGGGAGAACTGAATTGAATGTAAGGTTTAATGGCACAAGTTTCAAAAAAGGACATGCTGGGACAAACAAGCGGTTTTTCTTACAGCCAATGTAAGATAAAGCATATCTGCTTTGCAAAATACATTATATTGTTATAACTATGCATGACACGCAAAACATTCAGAA